GGGGGGGGGGGGGGGAGGCCCAGCCCGCCCGTCCCCTCCCGCGTGGCAGGCGGCAGCAGCAGGAGCCAAGGCGCCCCGACAAGCTGGCGATGGTGGCCGCCACGCGCGCGGCGGCGGAGCACGCTACCGAGCGGCGCCTGGAGCACGCCGGCGTGCCCGTCGCCTTTGACGCGTCGGCGCTCGATGTCGACGTCGGGGCCCTGAAGCGCATCTTCGCGGAGCACTTTGCCGACAACACCCGGCCTGGACAAGGGCTGCCACCTCTCCTCCTTTTTGACGTGCTCCTCGCCCTCCTTCGCGGAGGTGCCAGACCCAACACCCCGCCCCTTCCCCCCTCCCCAGCCCCCGCCCCCGCCCGCGTCTCCGCCCCCGCCCCCGCCCCCGCACCGCCCCACGCCAATCTCCCCGGGCGCGCACCCGAGTCGCAAACGGTGGCTCTCAACTGCCCAGGCGCACGTTCTGGGCCCAGTTTCTGACGCCCCCGCCGTCACAGGTGCTGCGCGCGCTGCGGCCGCTCATCGAGAAGGTCGGGCTCGAGTCGGACTTGGAGACCCTCTTCGAGCGCGATGGCGAGACGGGCGTGGTCCGCGCGTCGCTCGTCCGCTACCGCTTCGAGGCACGTCCGCCGCGGCCCCCGCAGCGCCGGGCCGCCAGCTGACGCGGGAGCCCCTTCCCCCCCCGCAGGACCTCCTCCTCGAGGAGGGGGGCGCGGCGCCGAAGCTCTCCCCGCACCACGACCACCTGGAGCGGCCGGGCGTCGCCGCAACGCTGCTCTTCACCCTGCAGGCCGCCCTTCGCCCCCCCCCCCGCACCGCCGCCCCCTCTTCATGAGCCGCCCGCCGACGGTGACAGGCGGGCGCGGTGCCGATGCTCACCGGCTTCATCCCCTTTGGCGGGCAGGGCAGCAGCCTCGCTCCCCCAGGCTCCGGCCACCGCGCGTGCATCGGCCAGCACGCCGCCGGCTCGGCACTGTGCGCGCACCCCCCCTTCCCCCGCCTCCCCAAGCCCCGCCCTCCCCCCGCCCGCCCTCCTGCCGCCCTCCCCGCAGCGCACGCCCCCTCCACACGCCGACGCGACCCCTGCGCCGTCGCAGGATCTTCCGCCGCCTCGTCAACGGCATCTACCAGCACTACGTCGAGGGCGCCGCGCCCAAGGTGCTCAAGCAGGTCGGCGGCCTGCTGCGCGCGCGCGGTGAGGCGGTCATGCCGCGCGACGTGGTGGCGCTCTGGCTGCCCGATGCCGGCGCGGCCGCCGACCCCGACATCGGCCGGTCGGGATCATTCGCCGCGGGGTGCGACGCGCCCGCGATGGCGGAGCGGGAGCACCGGCTGATGCTCCCGCTGGCGGAGCGGCTCAAGGCGGAGGGCACGGCGACTTACGAGTTCGGCGCCATCGCGACGGCGCGAGAGGCGGCGCTCGGCGGGCTGCTGCCGGCGGCGCGGGCGCACGAGGAGGAGGAGGAGGCGGCGAGGGCGGAGGCGGAGGCGGAGGCGGAGCGGTCGTCACGCATTCTCGTCTCGTCTGGCACGCGCTGGACTGCGGCAGAGCGTGGCATCCTCCGCGCGGCGGTGGCGGACGCGGCGGGCGGTGAGAGCCGCAAGGCGCTTGCGCGCGAGGCCCTGCCAGCCCTGAGCGGGCGCTCGCTACCAGCTGTGGAGTACCAGCTTCGCGGGGAGTGGTAGCTTCGTGAGAAGCAGGACTGGCCGTGCGCCCCAGATGAATGAGGCGCGGTACGTCGCTTGCCGTGTTGACGGGGGGTTGCGCTGTACGACGGGAGCGCGAGAACTGCATGACTGCGCCGTGTCTGCAGCTACTGACGTACACGGGATGGCCGCTTGCGGAGCTTGTCTTGTGTTGCGGTAGCGCACACTTTGACCCTGCATGATCCCGCCGAAGCCGAGCGAGTGTGTGAGCAATACGTAAAAATGACAGTTTCACGGGGAGTGTCTAGATGTACGCTATGACGTAAAGCCGTATGTGGAGTCGGTCTGCAGGTGCAGCGCCGTAGACCTAGACGGAGCCGAGGCAGCACAGAGAACTTAGCATTTTCGACACCTTTTGGAGAAATGTAGTAGTGGGCATTCGATTCGCCCCCAGGGGAGGGGGCTGCGGGACCCCGGTGTGTGTTGAACATCCCGGTCTGGACGATGTGTATTCACGACCGAGGGCACGCGAGCGCGCTGCGCCGACATGTGTTAGCGGGTGCATGTGTCAGCTCGTGTGTCAGGCTCAGGGCTCGTGTGCCTTCTTCAAAGAAATTGTCCCCTTTTCAAAGTTTCCTTTTTTGCTCGGAGGCGGAGCGCGGAGAGGAGGGCAGGATACGGCGGGATATTGCGGGATATCGCGGGATATGGCGGGATATGGCGGGATATGGCGGGATACGGTCAGATATGGAGAGATACATCAAGATACCGCAAAAGAATCGTCAGACTAGGGCTTTGAACCGGCTTTGCTGCACTCTGCGACGCTGCGGTACGGCCTGTCTCTGGGGTGTGTATGCCTCACGAGCGAGGCGGAAAGGCCGCGTGAACTCCCGTAGAAGCTCGCGAAGTGCGGATGTGGAGCGCCGCGCCGGGGGACCTCCGCGCCGGGGCCCGCCGGGGCCACGGGAGAGGTCAGAAATCGTTTTGGGTGAGAACGGCGTTCCGCTCTGGGTAAGCTCAGCTGTGAACTTCCCAGTTGTTTGCTCGCTCTTGCTTGCGCGTGACCCCTTGCGTGCACGCCCATAGCGCTCGCTTGTGGGGGTTAGACTACTACAAACCGGTCACGGCCCCGTCCAGTTTGGTCCCTTGGCCGGCGGCCCTGGGCCGCTCGGCACCGCGCGGGGGTGCCGTTGAGCGACCCTACGGATTTGTTGTGGTCGATTTTGGCCAAAAAGCCCAAAATGTGCTACCCAGTAGTAGTAAGACCGGCTGGGAGCGGGGGGGCGAGATCGACGTCACCGGTTAAGTGCCGGTCAGTGTGGAATCGGCGATCGCTGCCCCGGCCCCCGTCTTGCCTGTCCCTGGCGGCGACGGACGTGTTTGAATATCTGAGGTGATGTCTTTGCGGGTCAGCGAGTACGCAGGCTGTGCGGTGCCGGAGCCCTCACGCAATTATTCGACCCCTTGGACCGTCCTTTTAGCTAGCCGGGGGTGGAAATAAGGTCCGAGGGAGATTGAGGGGGCGCACGCCCCACGCAAACAGAAACACACCCCACACCACACACGTCCCACACACACACCACACACAAACACACACACCACACACGTCACCACACCACACACACACACACACCACACACACACACACACACACACACACACACATACACACACACAACACTGCTCTATCTCTATCTCTCAGACACACACACTCCGTCAAGCCCTAGGTCAAGCCCCAGGGACGTCGGACTCCGCCCACGACGTAAGCAAAAAATAAAATATGAAAATTGGTGTTACTAGCTCCGAGTAGAGGGGGCGTTCTGCTGCTAGGGAAAACCTGGAGCGCGGTACTAACCCTCGGAGACCTGTGTTTACTTTACGGCCCTTTCCCTGCGAACGCGCACCCCCAGGGCTAGGGCTCTCTTGCCCGCAACCCGATGCCAATCATCCGGCCCGCTGGATGCGCTTCTCAGCTCCCTGGCCCCTGGATGTGCGGTTGATGACTGCACTCCAAGTGCTCCAAGAATTTCATGTTTTCCGTGCACAGTCCGGACAGGCTGCCATATACCTCTATCTACATGATCGTGCTCGTGCCAACCGCGTGGCACCCGGTGGGTCGGGCCCAGGCCGTGATCTGTGATCTGTGATCTGTGAGGGTCCGCCCGCAGGCGCATTTTGTATACCGAGGGTGCCGAGCGCAGGCAGAGCCCACAGGTCGGACCTTAAGACAGCGTTGTAGATCCCTGGGCGAGGGTGGTGGAGAGGGCGGTCCGGCGGCGGAGCACCCACCTCCTCCCGGCGTGCCGGGAGGCAGGATGTCACCCCCCGTGATCCAGACCGCCCCGTTGGAGGTAGGCCGCTCGTCTAGCCAATCAGCCTTAAGCGAGCGGCCTGGCCGTTGGTCACCCCCCGTGATCCAGACCGCCCCGTTGGAGGTAGGCCGCTCGTCTAGCCATCGGACTCGCCGACTCCTCCCGCGAAAACAGAGGCGTGGAGGCCGAGAAGAGAGTCGACGAGGAGAGAGAGGGACGAAGAGAGTCGACGAGGAGAGAGAGGGACGAAGAGAGAGGAGAGAAGGGAGAGGGGACGAAGAAAAGAGGGACGAAGAGAGAGGACGAAGAGACAGGACGAAGAGAGAGAAGAGGGGGGGGGGGGGAGGGGGACGAAGAGAGAGAAAAAATCTTTTCTCGCGATGGAGTTGCGTGTATAAATAAATAAATACAACGGACACGCGTGTAAAAATTCTTTTATCCGGGTTAAAATTCTTTTTCTCGCGATGTCCACCCCGCCGCGCCGCTCGCGTCGCCGCTCGCGCCGCCTCGCCCCCGCCGCCCCCGCCGCTCCCTTGCCGAGCACGCCGCCGCCCGCCCGCCTCCTCGACCTCCCCACGGACCTCCTCGTGCGCGTCGTCTCTCGCTGCGAGGCCGTCGACATCGCTCGCGTCGCGGCCGTCTCCCGTCTCTTCCACGCCTCGCTCGCTAGGGAGGGCATCCGCTTGCGGGCGCAAGAGCGCGGCTACGAGCTGCCGGCGCAGCCCGAGGGCGAGAGCTGCGCCATGCGGTGGCTGTGCTATTCGGCGCTTCTGCGCGAGGCCAACCCGCCGGCGAGGGTGGCCGCAGGCAGTCGGCACAGCCTCTTCATCGACGGCGAGGGGCGGCTCTCGTCGTGCGGCAGTGAGGTAGCGGAGGGCGAGGAGGAGGACGAGGACGACGAAGTGGAGGTTCCAGGGCTCCTCGGTCACGGCGAGGGGGTGACGCGGTTCAACACGCCAACCCGCCTCCCCTCGACGCTGGGCGGCGAGCGCGCCGTGAGCGTGTCGGCTGGGTATGGCCACAGCCTCGTCCTCACCGCCGACGGCGCCGTCTGGAGCTGGGGCTTGGGATGGCAAGGCCAGCTGGGCCACGGCGACGGCCACAACCAGCTGCAGCCGAAGAAGGTGGAGGCCTTGGCGGGCCAGACCGTCATTGCCGCGGCGGCTGGAGGGGCTCACAGCCTCGCCATCACCGCCGACGAAGCCGTCTGGAGCTGGGGCGGTGGCTACGCTGGCCAGCTGGGCCATGGCGATGAGCAGTACCAGCTGCTGCCCAAGAAGATCGAGGCGATGGCTGGCCAGCGCGTCGTCGCTGTGTCGGCTGGAGATGGTTACAGCCTCGCCATCACCGCCGACGGTGGTGTCTGGAGCTGGGGCTGGGGAGCCTCTGGCCAGCTGGGCCACGGCGACGGGCACAACCAGCTGCTGCCGAAGATGATCGAGGTGTTGGCGGGGCAACACATCGTCGCTGTGTCGGCGGGAGGCGGGCAACGCTGTGTTGGCTGGAGCTGGGGCTATGGAGCCTTTGGCCGGTTGGGCCACGGCGACCAGCAGGATCAGCTGCTGCCCAAGAAGGTCGAGGCGATGGCTGGCCAAAGCGTCGTTGCTGTGTCGGCTGGAGGCATCCACAGCTTCGCCCTCACCGGCGGCGGCAGGCTCTGGAGCTGGGGCTTGGGAGGCCACGGCCAGCTGGGCCACGGCGGCGAGCAGGACCAGCTGCTGCCGAAGAAGCTCGAGGCCTTTGCTGGTCGTCGCGTCGTCGCTGTGTCGGCTGGAGTTATGCATAGCCTCGCGCCCACCGCTGATGGCGCTGTGTGGAGCTGGGGCAATGGAGGCTTTGGCCAGCTGGGCCACAGCGGCGAGCAGGACCAGCTGCTGCCGAAGAAGGTCGAGGTGACCAGCGTGCGTGACCGTAGACCGTCTGTCGTCTCCTCACGTCTGGGGGGGGGGGGGGGGGGGGATCAAGTTTCGTTATGTATCTCACACTATGTATCTCACACAGTTGAGGTGGGCGTAAATCGTACACCGCTAACACGCGCGCTCGCTAGCGCATCTTGTGCGTTTGCGTTTCGTGCGCTAGAGCCCAATGGTAGGCCAGAGGGGTCAGAGGCTAGTTCCATTTCACTCTGACACGCTAATCTTGAAAACGTCCAACGGAGCTCCGTGTTGCTCCCAGCGCCCTCCCCCGCGCTTCCTGCGGCCCTAGCCGATGGTACTAGCATGGAAGGTCATCTGGCTACCGCGATAGCGACCCAACTCGTCGACATCGTCCGATGATGGTGCCTCAAAGTCAGCCTTCGGAGGCTATCGTGGGGTCGAGCCGGCAGTAGCCGTGACATGTGGTTCCACCACCCCTCGTAGGCTTTGCCTCTGACCGTCACCGTTCCCAGGCTGCCTAATGGGATGGAAAGAAAGGCTCGGCGAGCGTATAGAAGCGTGCTCGACCTCGTCGTGGCAGCCTGCACGGCAGCGCTGGCAGGCGCGATGAGCGTCAAGCCACCTGACCCGAGACGGGTCGCAGGCGTCGTACCGAGCGCGTCGAGACCGTGTCCTGATGCGCTCTGCACGGGTGAGTCACGTCGGCGTCAAAGGAGCGACGTGTGACCCGTCAGAGCTTGATCTCCGATCTCAGCGGCGTCGAGTCGTCTCCGGTGCGCAACAAATGTACCTCCCCAGGACGCGCAGAGTCAGCTGCGACCCCGCCGAGTGGACGGGCGCACACCGCGCCCCCTGCTGTGTGCGCCCGTCCACTCGGCGGGGTCGCAGGTGCCTCTGGAAGGCACCGAGAGGTACAATAGTGCGCAAATGGTCAAAATCAAGGTTTTGTAACGCGAGCTGTGCCACAGTGAAATGGAACTAGCCAGATGAAAATATGCCCGGAACAACCACAAAGCGCACTGCAATGACTGTACTAATGCCTGGGATCACACTGCTATACTCTTTATCCTCCAGACATGTCTCTGATTAAAGATACACGAGCACGAAGTCGCGAAATTTCGCGCTCTGGCAGCGGCCGCGCAGTGTGAGCACCCCCTACCGCGACCCCACCGTGGCGCACCGCCCACTACGAGATGTCAGCCCGTGCGCGCTTTGCCGCGCGTGCCGCCGCGCCGCGCCGCGCCAGCTCCGGCTTGGCGAAGCGCCAGCCGAGGTGCTTCTCCTTGCGCCACGAGTCCTCCACCAGGACGGTCCAGGTGAACGACTCATCCTCGTCGTAGCGGCTGTCCTTCGGCCACTTGATCCGCACCGCGCCCCACGCAAGGACCGTCTTGCACTGCGGCGTGCGCTTCGTAGTCGTGCCGTCGGCTCTGGGGGGAGGCGGGGCCCCTAGGGGATACCCATGCGGAGAGGAGATGGGGTCCCATGGCCCGCCGCACGCGCGCGCCGCAGGCGCCGATTTTTCGAGATTTTTTCCCGCGATTTTTCACTTCATGAGAATTTCGCGTATTGCGACCATGCTATCACGCCTTGCGACAGCCTGTCGGCGCTGCTGACCGTGCCATGATGCACAATTGATCACCTGCATAGCTCGCGGCACTCCAGCATTCAGTGACGACCTGATCGTACGGCCAGTAGGAAGGTGTCCTTCCAGCGTGTGCACGCTTCTGACGCAATGCGCGTCACAAACTGGGGAAACTGCCTCGGATTGGCTGCTGGCACTCTCGAGGCTATGCCTACACAGCCTCGCGCGCATGGGCAGTCAAGAGGGACCATGCACCTTCTCACGACAGCGCCGGTAACTCTCTCTTGGACCGGCAAACGTGGTGGTCTCGTGTCACCGATGTGGGACCAGTGCGGCATCGCGCCATCGACAGCTCTGAACTGCGCCTCACCACTGACCGGGAAGGCCGCCAAGTGGGTCAGCACCGGTCGCACATTGTGGCAGCAGTCAGTAGTGCATGTCTGATAGCTAGAGCAGCAGCGTCAGGGTCGCAGGGTCGGATCGTGTCAAGCCTCTCGCCCGGCCGGCCGCGTGCAGACGTCGGCCTGTCTGCTGTCTGGAGTGATCTGTCGGCGGTCAGTACGACCGATCAGGTCGGAGTTTTCTGATGGTTAGAGGGTCTATCTGTATGTACTCCTCGAGATCTCTCCAAATCTGCCCTCTGATTAACCTAGCTTAATCGGGAAGTCGGTGCTAGTAGAGACTAGTAGAGCCGGGCCCCGTTTCCGCACACTGCGGCGCGGCGCACGGTGCCTCCGGGGCCCCCGCCTCCCCCCAGAGGCCGTCGGCAATCTCGACCACCTCGCCCTCCGCCCAGATGTAGTGGGTCTTGTAGCCGCGCTTCTTCGCCTGGTTCGGCACGCGATACGGCCAGCGCACCTCGAGGTGGACGTTGAGCAAGCTGGCAAAATCTGGAGGGCGCTCGGGCTGCGCGTCGGCGACGTGGTCGATCTCGCCCGCCTCCTCCAGCCGGTCGCGCTCGTCCTCGGCCGCCTCGCGCAGCTCATTGGGCGTGAGCTCCTCGCGCGCCGCCATCAGCACCTCGGCCTGTGCAGTGGGCGTGCCGAGCTGCTTGAAAGGTCTTACGCCTGACGACGGGCGGCGGCGCCACGTCGGGGAGCTCGTCCCTCTCGCGCAGGTCGCGCTCGTGCTCGATCAGCTCCTTGAGGTGGCCTGTGAGCTCCTCGACGGTGCCGACGTACTCGTCCGTGCTGGAAGACCAGCGCGCCGCGAACTCGGCCCACTGCAACCCGCGCGTGCGCATCTCGTTCTGCTCTCGCAGCCAATCCAGCTTGGCCTGATTAGCCGTGCAGCCCGATCGGCAGGCCGGGGCGCGGCACGCGCAGATGCTCCGCAGGCCCGCGTTCAGCTGCGCGACGGATCGCACGCCCCGCTCCTGCCAGCGCTCAAAGAAGGACATGCCGTACGCCCACTCCGTGACCAGCGCCTTCAGCTCCTCCTGTGACGCCGTCTTGGCCTTCGCCTTAACATACGCGGCGTACTGGGGGCGTTATCCGCGCGGTCGACGGCGCGCGACGGGCGCTGCGCCAGGCGAGCCCACTCCACCAGAGTGTGTTGCTCTTGCCACAATAGCGCGTGAAAGTAGCCCAGCGACGCGGCGGGCGACGGCGCGTCGAGCAGCGCCTTGCGGTGGCGCACCGCGTCGCCCGTCGCAAAAGACTTCATCCGCGCCGCGTGTGCGAGCGCAGATGGGCCTCGTGCGGCGCGCCGTGGTTTCTTAGATTTGTGCGGGAATCGCTTGGTAGGGTTTCTTAATGGGACGCTTTCCGTCCCCAAGCACGATCCGGCCTGGGTGCGGGGCTTGATAGAAACCGGCTTCAAAGAAAAAAATCCGCGGGCCGGAGGAGAGAGAGGGAACATTTCTTCGGTGACATAAGTGTACCTCTATCTAAAAGAGCGTGCTCGTGCCAACCGCGTGGCACCCGGTGGGTCGGGCCCAGCCCCAGGCCGTGATCTGTGATCTGTGATCTGTGAGGGTCCGCCCGCAGGCGCATTTTGTATACCGAGGCGGTGCCCGGTGCCGAGCGCAGGCAGAGCCCACAGGTCGAACCTTAAGACAGCGTTGTAGATCCCTGGGCGAGGGTGGTGGAGAGGGCGGTCGGCGGCGGAGCACCCACCTCCTCCCGGCGTGCCGGGAGGCAGGATGTCACCCCCCGTGATGCAGACCGCCCCGTTGGAGGTGGGCCGCTCGTCTATCCAATAAGGATGGCCTGGCCGTGGGAATGGCCGAGTATCCGAGAGGCGGCAGCCTCTGCCCTCGGAGAGGGGGGGAGTCTATGACCTACCTAGTTGTCCGGCATGCGAGGGCACGCTCGGCCGTTCGGAGTCCCCCCCTCGTAGAGGACGTCGGAGGGAGGGGAGGACGACTGTCTCCGCAGGCGGACCTCAGTTACGAGCCGCCCTCCCCTCGAGACGCGAGGCCAGCGCACTTGGGGCCGAGCCCCAGCGTGCACCGTCCCACACGCCTCACGCGGCCTCTGGCTGGAACGGGATCGCAAGCGAGTCCCCCAGGCCGGCGCGCGTCTTCCGGGAGAGGAGCCGGAGCGAAGGACATTCTCGCGCGGCCGTTTAGAATGGGACCCCCGATGATGCCCCCCCCGACCCCCCGACCCCCCGTGCCCCGATCCCCCGACCCCCCCCCCCGACCCCCCGACCCCGCCCCGATCCCCCGACCCCCCGACCCCCGACCCCCGGCCCCGGCCCCCGGCCCCCGCCCCCGACCCCGGCCCCCCGACCCCCGACCCCCGAAGCCCCGACCCCGACCCCGACGAAGAAATTTACGTCTAAACATTAACAGGTGCCCTTAGGCTCCCTGCCGGGTTCATGGAGTAGTTTTCAACCAGCAATAGTCGCACGTCTCTGGAGATCATTCGTTACGACTTTGCCCCAAGCGCAAGAATACCGGATGAAGCGCCCGCCGATTGGACCTCGCCCCGGATTTCACCACCCCGCTTGTGGCAAAAACAGAAGGAGACGCGCGCGAGGCGACACAGCCGCACCGCTCTCCCACATCGGTCACCGCCACATACAGCGAGCACCAGCGCCGCCCATGTGTGTCCGCTGCCGACTCACCTTTGGACTCGCCGACTCCTCCCGCGAAAACAGAGGCGTGGGGAGGCCGAGCACCGCGCCCCGAGGGTTTCGACGTGGGCGGCAGGCCGTCGTGGGACAGACCGACGCGCGCGCAGGGTCGACCAACAAAAAGGCACAAGAAGCCGGACCGGGCCTTCGAAGCGGCTCCTCCCTCACCTCCCTCACCCTCCCCGCCAGCCTCTTCGCCCAGTGACGGTCTTCTGCGGCTGCTCCGCCCTCACCTCCGTCACGCTGCCCGACAGCCTCACCTCCATCGGCAAGCAACGCCGCCTTCCGCGGCTGAGCCGCCTTCGTCCGCACAACTTGTAAGCCCGCCGGCCTCGCCTCCATCAACAGCTTCGCCTTCTTCGGTGCAGCACCTCCCTCGCCCGCGTCACCGTGCCAACCACCGCCACCATCGGCGAGGCCGCCTTCTCACCCGCCACCGCCGTCCTCCGCCTCCCGCCCGCAGGTATGCGCAACCTTCGCAGCGCTGGTTCGAGGCGGTGGACGGGGCTCTGGCCTACAAGCGCTGCCGCTCAAAACCTCTACGGCTGCGGCCCGGATGGCGTGGCGCGCCAGCGCAACCTCGAGGCGTTCGAGGCGATTTTGCGCAGCCCATGGGCTCCACCGTGAGCGCCTGGGGGGACGCGCACTGTCGCGTGCGTCCTTCTGCAGTCGCCCTCGCCCTCGCCGAGCCGTGGACGTTGCGTGAAGAATGCGCGCTTCGGTGCTTTGCATCTCCTAAAGTCACTACGCTCGGAAGTGTTTGTGCGCGGGGCGAGCCAAACCTGGTGTTGTGTGCAGCCCTGCCCCTGGTGAAGCCCGCTCGGTGTGTGTGTTCTCGTGCGCCCCGTCGGCCATGCTCGCAGCAGGCCCGCGTCGCCGCACGTCGCAGCTCAGGTCTGGCTCGCTCGCGTGTGCGGCGCTGCAGCGGCCAGCGCGCGGTGCGGGGGGGGTCGGTAGCCGGCGTCGCGGGAGTAGCCCACGCGAAGATGTGTGGCGCCGCGCAGCGTACTCTTGTTTTTGTTCACTACGACGCCGCGCGCAAAAGCCAAAACCCCTATTTCTATCTCCATGGTGGCGACCGGGCCACACGCGCCGCGTGCCGCAGGTGAGCACTCGGCAGGGTGAGATAGGGTCGCCGGGCGGCGCCCGCCCTGCGGTCTTCTTCTCTCGCGCCCCGGTCGTCCCCCCATCGCGCCGGCGCGCGCGTGGGGCGTGGCCGCCCCCCCCCCCCCAAAACACCGCTCCTCTGAGCTCACTCCTCCCCGGCGGCATAGTACGCGTCCGTCGGCTCGTGCGCCTAAGGTCAGACGCCAGGCAGACGCGCTCAACACGCACACAGTGCTCTCTTCAGCCGACCGCCGCATCGGGTGCGCCTGCGGCTGGAGTCGCGCGCGCTCGTCGTCGTTCCTCCGGTACCCCCCCGGCACCGCCCCAAAGCTGGGCAGCCCGCCCCCGGTGGCGTTGTCGGCCGTCGGGGCGAGCGAGTAGGGCGTATGCGCAAGGTCCCCCCGCGGCTGACCCGGCGCGAGCCCGCCTCCTCCGCCCCCGCCGCCTCCTCCCCCGGCGCCGCCCGCAGTCGAGTTGAGCAGCACGAGGGAGAGGAGGATGCAGGTCCAGACAGCGAGGAAGCCGTTGACGGTTCTCGTGAAATCGTGCGGCAGAAAGGTGATGACGAGCCCCTGCGTCCACCAGCCGGCCGTCGCCAGCGAGACGATCCGCGCCTGCTGCGCCGCCAGCCCCGGCTGGCTCAGAAGCCCACCGCACCCCGCCGCCGAGACGAGGCCCACAGCGAGCGCCCACGCGTCCACGCCTGAGCGGCTGTGCACGTAGCTGCAGAATGCCTGCAGCGCCACGACGGCGGAGCCGATGCAGAGGAGGAGGAGGAGTCCAAAGTCCCCCTTGGCGAGGCGAACGAAGCGGTCGACGGCGCGCGCCAGGTGGCCCGAGTAGGGCAGCGCCGCCGCGACGCTCGCAAACAGCGCGCCCCACGTCGAGAGGTGCCCGTTGCCGAGCGTGGTGAAGGGGCCGGTGAAGGTGAGGCCGAGGCAGGCGAGCGACCACCAGGCGAGGAGGAAGCGTGTGGCGTTGGGCGCAAACGTGGCAGGCAGCGGGGTGGGCAGCTTGACGGCCAGCGTCAGCGCGAGCAGCAGGCCGGAGAGCGCTGCGGAGACAGCGCCGGCGGCGATGCCGGCGGTGGAGGAGAGCGAGGCCGCGGCGACGAGTTCAAACGTGGACGCCAGGACCAGCGCTGCCGCAGGTCCAACGTCGCTGCTGGCTGGTGCTGCGCCGCCGCCGCCGCCGAAGAGCGGGGCAGCGTCCATCGCAAACCCGCGGAGAGCGGTGAGCGCGATTCGGAGACGGGTTGTTGAGGGCTGGTTCTTTTGATCTTCGCTTGCGATGTGATCTGTGATCTGTGATCTGTAAGGGTCCGCCCGCCTTCGCCTTCGATGTTATGAAACAACGCAAGGCGGACATGGCATATCGCTCTCGGGCCCACAGACATCCCGCACACTCGCCGCACACCCGCCGCGGCCCCCGGCCGGGAGAGAGGGGAGTGACAGTTTGGGATGGCAACAGAACGAGTATGTTGAGTCCTGGCTCAACAACGCAGGGTAAATGTAAGCCGGATGGCTCACAGGCCACCTCTCGCGCCCCGATCTGACCCTCTACCGCACTGAGCACTTCCGCCCCCTCGCTCCCAACCCATCCAACTCGCCTCGGGCCGCGCCGCGCAATCTCGGGCGATCTCGCGCAATCTCGGGCGATCCCGGGGCCGCGCCGCGCTATCTCGGGCGATCTCGGAGCGTCGCTCGCGCGGCGGCACACCTGCTCAAAAAAGGAAGGGCCTGGTTGGAGCCACGGGGCTCACGAGGACGTGCTCGCTCGGTTCTCGCCGCCTCGCCCTGCGCCACTTGGGCCGGTGAGGCGGCGCCCCGCGCGGCGCGTCCGTCGAGACCGTGTCCTGATGTGATCTGCACGGGTGAGTCACGTCGGCGTCAAAGGAGCGACGTGCGACCTGTCCGAGCTTGATCTCCGATCTCAGCGGCGTCGAGTCGTCTCCGGCGCGCAACAAATGTACCTCCCCAGGACGCGCAGAGGCTGCTGCGACCCCGCTGAGTGGACGGCGTCACACCGCGCCACCTGCTGTGTGACGCCGTCTACTCGGCGGGGTCGCAGCTGCCTCTGGAAGGCACCGAGAGGTACAATAGTGCGCAAATGGTCAAAATCAAGGTTTGTAACGCGAGCTGTGCCACAATGAAATGGAACTAGCCATGGTCACCAGTAAACGAAAATTCGACTTTGAGGAATCATATCTCAAAAGGCTGGGTGAGAGCATAGCACGTGTTGTTGTATATTAGGCCGCATAAGGTCAAACTTGACCCCAGAAGCATCAAGAACCCGATGCTCCGGCTCGACTGTGCCGGCACACTGCCTCCCTCCTCGCGCACGCTGCTAGCAGGCCGTTGCGGCCCGTGGTGCACCAGAGAGAGAGGTCGACGCGTTGCCCCCGCCGGCGACCCCGCGCGGCTCAGGCCAGCCAGAAGGTGTGTGGTGACGGCACCGTGGCAGGAGTGCGGAGAAGAGCTCGCCGAACGCGAGCAGAAGATGGCCAAAGTGTGCCAGCGCGAGAGCCTCGCGAGCGGGCGCAGAAGGAGCTCGCCGTGACACGATGCCGGGCGGTGGTGGCGCTCTGGCGACTGTGCACAGTGGGCAAAGTCAGGCTGCAACAGGGCAGCACGTTGGTAGTGCCCTGCTGCAGCCTGGCCTGACATGCACAGGGCGAACAGAGGCGGTACTATCGTCTGGCGCTCGAGCGGAGCGAGTGGAGCCGAGCGGAGCGAGTGGAGCCGAACAGAGCTGCCACCGCGCCATCTGGCGCTTAAGACTTAGAAACGCTAAGCGATCTCACGGTACTTTCGTTTACCCACACTCTGCGAGTAAATAAATGTAAGCCGGATGGCTCACAGGCCACCTCTTGCGCCCCGACTGACCGATCTACCGCACTGGCCACTTCCGCCCCCTTGCTCCCAACCCATCCACCTCGCCTCGGGCCGCGCCGCGCGATCTCGGTCGAACACGCGCAATCTCGGGCGATCTCGGGGCCGCGCCGCGCTATCTCGGGCGATCTCGGAGCGTCGCTCGCCCCCCCACTTGCTGTCCAGGACACAGCTCTGCTGTCCAGGACACGCACCAAGGACAGCCAGCGCCGCGACTGTGCCCGGCCAGCCATGATCACCCCCGCGGATCGCCTCCGCCCCCGCGCCCGTGCCGGCGCCGCCCTCCTGGCGGCAGTGGCGGGCCTCTTGCTGCTCGCTGGCTCGGTCGCTCACCTCCGCCCAGCGCACGTCGTTAGTGCCAGCGAAGGCGCGAGCAGCGAGGATGTCAGTGTTAACGGTGCGCCCGGCCCGCCGTCTCCCCCCTCCTCGCCGCCTTCCCTCGCCAAGCAGCTGTTGCTGGCGCTCGAGCAAGGTCCCATCGCTACGGACCTGGAACAGCTGCTTGAGGAACATCCGGCAGCGCCTTGGGCTGGCATCTTGGCCCAGCCCGCGCACGAGCAAGGTTATCAGATTCGCGGCGTCGACATCAAAAGGATATTCAGATTTGGCGCGCGAGGAGATTTATCAGATTTGGCCATTGCCCAACAGATGTACCCGGGCGCCATGTTGGAATGGTCCAACAACATGCCCCTCCTCTTCCTAATGTTCGGGAATCTCGGCTCTTCAACCCCCCCGCCCACCCCTGGACGCCTCGACACGACCTGCATGACATGCCCTACTTCGGAGCCACCGACTTCGTGCGAGGACATCGAGAACATCATCTCGGTCGGCGGCTGCGCGGCAGCGTGCACCGGCGCCGTCGAACGGTATATCAAGACCTCCCTGGTGGGGCACGTTACTGAGCAGGACTGCTCCTATCTGCTCCCAGCTGACGTGATCTCGCTCCTGCTGGACACGGGAGTGGATCCGAATACGCAGTACATGGGTATGACACCGCTGGCCCTGGCCGCCAGCAACGCCGCCCTCCCAATCGTGGAGGCGCTGATCGCGCACGGCGCTGACGTGAACGCGCCGTACGAGATCCGCGGCGCAGATGGTCGGAACACCACCGTCTCTCCCCTGGCGCTGGCAGCCATGACGGCATCCGGCAGGTCGAGGTCGCCCTGCCATGGAGGGGAGACGTTGGCTGAACTGTATCGCTTTTACTGGAAGTGGAATCTCAAGAAGAGGTACCTGAAGAGCGAGGAGCAGGAGCAGGAAGAAGCGGCAAGTTGCCACGAGAGCGCCCTGCGCACGATGAAGGCACTCGCCGCTGCCGGAGCGGAGCTCTTGCCGTCCGATCCCGCCCAGCTGACTCCGCTTCAGGCGGCTCAGACCATGCACATGCGTTTCACCATGCCTGGCTACATGACCCCGTTGAAGGAGAATCCCTTGTACTCCCTCGGGCCGCAGTACTTCGTCGAGAATGTGCAGAACACGGCCGACGCCAGTCGCGACGTGGTCGACCTGCTTGTGCGGCTCACAGCCTCTCCCACACCCCGCCCCGCCCGGCGTCGATGATCTTTGAGTCGGCCGAGAATGGCGACGACCACTTGGCGCAGACGCTGATGGCCGCTGGGGCGGAGCAGACTGGGACGTTCCGCGCTTGGGACGGGCGGTGGGCTAGTAGGTGAGAGGGGGACCGGCGGGCTGGGGTCGGATCCGTTCGTCGATGAGTGGGCGCTGAACACTAACTGTGCGTGAGGGTGGATGGGTACTCGGAATGAGGAGTGTCTGATACGTTGTGGCAGTCTAGCGTGCGTGCAGCGGTAGCTCAGAGCCAGCTCTTGTCTGTCTGGGTTGCAGTATCGGGGCGCGGGATCGGGGTTCGGCGCGGGGTCGTGATGTTCCGGGCTCGCTGTCCATACGTGGCTGGGTTCACAGCAATTGTAGGGAAACGAAGGGACCAAATCACGGTCGCGGCCTTCCGACTCGCGCCTCCGCCTCACTGGCACTATTGTAGCCCTGGCCGGTGCGCGTGCGGAGTTGAAGTTCCGGAGTGAAAATTCGAACGCGTTCTCTCACGGTGACCAAAAAATGTCCACCTCAGAGGCACCTCCGGAGGCAGGCCGCCGCACGCCGGCGACACAGCTCCAGCTGTCGAGCTGACCCGCAGCTCCTCTCAGAGCGGGAACTGTGACGAAAGTTGACTGAGGCGGTTGTCAGGAATCATCATACGGATCACATGGTGGCTCTCTCATGACGGGAGACCGCCCGACCACTCCTGGGTGGCACTGTCACCGGTGTCGCTCGACGTCCTGTCGACAGCGTGCCGACAGCGACACAGATCATGTGGGACGCGTCGAGTATCGACCTCTACTGCTTACCCAGCCTTCGAGTGTATCCTGGCTGTGGTCCCACACCCACTGGTGTCCATCTCAGAGACCGCAGGAGGTCATGAGGGTCGATGGGAGTGCCAACCCCACAATGCCTAAAAACCCAGCCCAGTATTCCCCTCACCTAACGTGACGAAACGGGTACTACATATTTATATACAGTCCGCTTGCTGGGAGGGAGTTCTCTAATTGTCGGTTCAAGACATTCAAGTCCACGTTGTCGTTGGGCTTGGGGCGTTGGAGTAAAGCCGTAAATAAAGCCGTAACGGCCGTCCCGCGTCCGGAGACTGGGGACCTTGTATGTATCGCGCGCGCCTTGCGGGGGGGGGTTGCGGAAAAGAGGAACCTCTTAGCGCCATCGCCATGGTGCTGCAAGCCAGCGCCGGGCGACGACGACTTGGATCATTCCGCCTGGGGCCACAAAAGCAACAACACAAACAATCTCTCTCAAAAGCTCGCTTGTCATGCAGTTCGAAAAGATCCGCGTTTTCCACGGCCGTGATTGTGCGTGCCTTGTTGAGATCGCTGCAACTTCCACACCTAATCTTTGCCGTGAAAGTTTTGGCAAGATTGATATCTCGACAACCTCTTCGGTGGATTTGGAGCTGACGGTAACTCACTCTATAGACATTACATTCATTGGAGTCAAGAGCAAGCTGTAGTAACTGATGGGATGAGGTATGCATTGGCTATGTCGATATCTGTTTGTGCAGGTAAACCGGTTACGGGCAAGCATGACAAACTGTTTGTTTACAGTTCAAACGGAAGGAAGAGCCCAAATCACTGTGTGTGCCACATTTCTTGTTGGCTTCTCTCTCTCTCTCTCTCTCTCTCTCTCTCTCTCTCTCTCTCTCTCTCTCTCTCTCTCTCTCTCTCTCTCTCTCTCTCTCTCTCTCTCTCTCTCTCTCTCTCTCTCTCTCTCTCTCTCTCTCTCTCTCTCTCTCTCTCTCTCTCTCTCTCTCTCTCTCTCTCTCTCAAACAAACAAACAAACGGACACGATTGACTGAGACTCCTTTGCTTAGAGGTCGGGGTTGTGTTTTTGCGTGAACAGGCCCGGGGTTGTGCTTTTGTGTGAACCGGGGCCTCCAGGGCTCGCACCTCAACCTCTCATATACCAGCGCGCAGGGCACACACACACACACGCAGGGCCAGCAAAGGTATTTTCTTCTCAATCTGTTTCACAGCTGTCTGTGAAGAGTCCTCGAGCACAGGCCCAAGAGAAGCATGGCGAGCGCTCGTTTGTCCCTCCCTCCATCACGAGCTTCTCCTCTGCCATCTGCCACTATCGACGAGGTCGACGAGGAGGCGCTATCGACCATGACAAAACAACTCGACTTTGTGGGTCGCACACCCTCACCAAGCGACAGCTGCGCCCGCCAAACTCAGATCTACAAACGGGCGCTGCTATGGCTGACGATGCTCGTCCAAGAATCTCTTCCAGGATTCGAGCTCCTCGAGTACGGCGCCCGAAAAAAGGGCACGGACACAGAGTGGTCTGACATTGATGTCGTCGTCGTGGGCAGCTCGGAGGAACGGGAGACACTGCAGCGGTTCCGGAACCTCGTGTTCAACAAGGAAGCGGAGCTCTTGCAACAACTCGGCATCAGGCAAGTCATCATCAACGACGAGAAGCTGACTGCGCGCGTCCCTACGCTAAAGTTCAGTCTGACTACCAACCTTCACGTGGACGTGACGGCTCACGACAGCCGACGCCGTGACTGTCACCACGGTCTTGGAATGGTTAACGTCATCACAACTATGCGAGAGACGCAGTGCATTTGCACGCCAATGCGGCGATGGGGACCGCTGGTCCGCTTTTTGAAGGCCGCGCTGCACGTGTGTGTCCTGCCGGCCCTCGCCGCCTCGATCGACCTGCGCTCGTTTCACATAGAGGTCTTGGTGCTATGCTTTCTGCTTGATAGCAGGGTATGGCCGCGGAAGGCCTATTCCGGAGAGAACGCAAGGGCACAACTGCTGCTCGACCTGGTCGAGTTCTACGCGACCAGGTTCCGGCCCAGAGAGCATTACATTCACCATGAGCGGGGGACAACCAAGATGTACTTCGTTCAACGGCAGGAGGGTCGCATGGGTGATCTGGTTATGAGCAGCTTGCTGCCCGCGAGCGATGCGGAAGGTGACGCATTCTACGATAGTCCCCGGGATGGCGGCTGGGAACAGGTGATCAAACCGTTCTTTCAGACGATCTCTGACGGGATTCGGAATCAAAGCTGGTCCCCGGAACTTGAAGAGCTACTTGGTGTCGGCAGGCCCACGCGCTCAGAGCGGTTCCGGAACCGGCTTGGAGGAAAAGGATAGAGTCTCATCTCATCCGTTTCAGCGATAGCAATTTAAGCCCCCAAAGCTCCTCATTTCTTAAAAGGTCTTAAAAAACTGGCACGACAAGGGCGCGGACTGGCGCGGACTAGCACACACACACCGGCTCACAAAAAGAATTTAAAAAAAGAACTCCCACAGCAGACAGGCTCGACACAGGTGCGAACTGGATTTGCTAGTACTATCACAAAAGAAATGGACGCACGCCGCCACTGAAGTGCGTGCGGGGGCACGTGCTGGCAGCTTTTGCCCCTGGCCCTGGCTCCATGGCCGCCGCGCCCTCGCTGGCCACGCTGCAGAACCTTGTCCGGCGCGACCCGGATGGCTACACCGAGGAGGTCGGCCGGCGGCTGCGCCACTTCCAGTCGCTGCTCGCGCTCGTCGAGCAGCAGCCGGGGAGCAGCCCGGCCGACTTTCTGCCGCTGCTGAGCTTCGTCTCGCACATCGCGGCGTGCTTTCCGTCGCTGATGGCCGACCTGCCCGAGGGGCTCGGCCGCCTCCTCGAGGAGCGCCACGACGTCCTCGAGCCCGCCGTGCGGCGCGCGCTGCTGCAGGCGCTCGTCCTGCTGCGGAACCGCGGGATGGTCCCGCCGCTCGCGCTGCTGCAGCGGTGCTTCCGGCTGTTCCGCTGCCGCGACAAGACGCTGCGCGCGCGGCTGTACGCCTACGTCGTGACCGACATCAAGACAGCCAACCGCAAGGCGCGCGACCAGCCGCTCAACCGCGCGCTGCAGAACCACGTCATCCACATCCTGCAGGAGCCGAGCTCGGTGGGCGCAAAGTACGCGCTGCGCGCGATGATCGAGCTGTACCGCAGGCAGGTCTGGCGCGACGCCAAGACCGTCAACGTCATCGCCTCCGCCCTCTTCTGCCCCCACCCAAAGCTGCGGATCGCGGCGCTGCACTTTCTGCTCGGCGCGCACGACGCGCCGCGCGACGGGGAGGACTCGGAGGAGGAGGAGCTTCAGGAGGCGCGCGGCGCCGTCTCCAAGCTGCGCGAGCAGCTCGGCGGCAAGGACGGCTCGCACGAGTCTCGCCCCGGCCGCTGCGTCAACAAGAAGAAGCGCAAGCTGCAGCGCGCCATGCGCTCGACCAAGTCACGAGGCAAGGCGGAGGCCGCGGCCTCGTTTGCGGCGCTCCACCTGCTGCACGGCCCCTCCGTGCTGCCCGGGTGTGGACGGCGTCTCTTCACGC